AATAGTAAACATTTATCATTAGGTCAGTAAACTTAACAAACATTTATCATTAGGTCATTAAACTTAACAAACATTTATCATTAGGTCAGTAAACTTAACAAACATTTATCATTAGGTCTGTAAACTTAACAAACATTTATCATTAGGTCAATAAACTTAACAAACATTTAGAGAACTAAAGTTTTTTTACTTCTTGTAGGGCCATATAAGTTATATTTTACGTTCTGTAGAACAAATGTTATTTTCTCCTCGCTGTGACGTTTTTCTCTCGTTGGATAAATCATTTATTGGTTAAATGTTGATTAAGAATTGTCGGATAATTAGGTTATTTACAAGCCATATAAGAACTTTTGGGGAAAGAGTTTTTCTCGGGATTGTTTTTAAAAATATTAAACTTTTTTTGTTTTTATTTGGAAAATTGGGTGGAGAGTATGAACATTTTATTACAGATATAACAACTAGGGATGTGTCTGTTCATCCTTTTGAAATCGTTAATTATAAATTTTTATTTAGTTATCAGTAAATCTGACTGGCATAGAGAAAACCAAGATTTTGTGCGGCTCATTCTTGATTTACATAAAGGAATATAATTCAGCATATTGTTTCGAGGGTTCCTCAATATTCATATTTGGTAAAATCTTGGTAAATGTCGCCTGGACCATTACATAGTTTAATTAATTAGATTATCGTACAATATTTTCTTTTCAGTTTGTCCTCTTAAGTTGGATTGGTTGGTCCAAAAAGTATATTGATAAATGTTCAAAGTGGGTTTTAAATTGATGTCGAACTGTCTACCTCCACGTTATATCGTAAATGCCTGGGTCTTGAAATGTTTTTTTTATGTCTTGAAAATTTAAAGTTTGCTAGAGTATTAAATAAATGTAACACTAGCTGAAAAAAAAATTTTGAAAAATATTTTGAAAAAAAATCGAATTTTTTTAGCCTTTAACACCCCCCGACCACCCATGAGTGTTCACAAAAAAATTCAGCCCAATCGGTCCAGCCGTTTGGTCGGCGATACGCAACATATATAAATAGTAAGAATGTCTTGTTTTATTATATACAGTGAAACCCTTAATAACGAATACATCGGAAGAATTTATCAAATGTCGTCTTGACAATTTTTCAATGAGTTTTATACTATATTACGTTAATTTCAGTATTTGCGAAAATAAATAAATAGCCATGTATATGTAGGATCAGTTTTAAGAGTTTCATATAATCATTTAATTAAAAAACTAAATATCTTCAACATTCCATTATCGGAAAGTGAAGAATACGACATTTGATGAATTCTTTCGATGTATTCGTTATTAAGGGTTTCACTGTAGATAAGTACAAATATAATCAATATTCTATATCAATCTCTAATTTTTGTTTCTGAGAGTATTTAATGAATAGAAAAGGTACAATACTGCATATTAGTCTGTAAAGATCTGTGTGTGCTTGAATGTTGAAAATGTAGGAAAAGTGCATAATTTAACCCCTATCCATGTTATCCTCCTTGGTAAGGTGCTCAACTTCACAGGACAACCCTACCACCTCTTTCAGGAGGTTTATCAAAGGTAATTGTTATTGTTCAAATTCAAGTTAATTCAATAACAAAAATATTTAAATTTCACTTGTTTTAATATTTCCTAAAAATGTTCAGTTAATCTTTTTTCTTGTAAATTAAAATATATTCTTGATCAGAAATAGACAAATTACTGTTGCTAACCTACTCATTCCTTTGGCTGCTCAAATTCATAAGCTATATTTTACATTTCAATTTAAAAAAGGCTCTGATTGAAGTAATAGCTTCCCTCTGATTTAGTCTTGTTGAACCAATAAGCTCTGATTTAGTCTTGTTAAACCAATAAGCTCTGATTTAGTCTGGTTGAACCAATAAGCTCTGATTTAGTCTTGTTGAACCAATAAGCTCTGATTTAGTCTTGTTAAACCAATAAGCTCTGATTTAGTCTTGTTGAACCAATAAGCTCTGATTTAGTCTTGTTAAACCAATAAGCTCTCATTTAGTCTGGTTGAACCAATAAGCTCTGAATTAGTCTGGTTAAACTTATATGCTCTGATTTAGTCTGGTTGAACTGATTAGACCAGATAAGAAAACTGTAGGAGGGGTATCTAGTATATCTCTTCTATCCTGTGTACTTGAACTGAAGAAGATGGCTGTTCCTCTGCCCGAAGTTCGAGATAAAATAAGGTTAATGTACTTTATAAACCTATTCTAAAACTTATTCTTATTATACCCACATTTCTCGGGTTTTAACAAGGTAACTTTTTTCTTTTTTTTTCTTTTCCATTTTTTTATATTTCTGTTGTATTCATAATTTTTCAACGTACAGTTGTATCTTTGTTCTCTATTTGTTTCATGTACAAATTTATCAACCTTAAAGAAACTACAGACGTAATTTCAAATCAAACTCAATTTAAATAAAGTAATTCACAACGGTACCTTTAAACCTATACCTAAAGAACTAAAAGGAAGATATCGGCGTTTTTCTATCTAAACAACTTCCTTTATGGTCTCTCATCATATGATCAAGCATTTCAGTGCAAGTCACTATTATAGATCAATCACAGTTGAAAATAATCATTTTTCAGCAAGACAAACTAGGATATCTCGTTTTTTCGTTTTTCAGGCAAAGGTTTAAAGGGTAGCGTTGTAAATTGTATAAATGGAGGCCGGAGGGTTATTTACAATTACATCTACAGTCCCTTTAAGTTTATATCTACTAACCTAGGGGCTATCTGGAGAACGATGATCTGATCTGGGATTTAGATACATTCTTCACTGTTATTAAGTGCAGTGGAATAATGGATAAACATCTTATTGATAACTACTTTCAAACTAGTCTTCAACTTGGTAGGATATTTGTAATTAACGGATAAACATCTTATTGATAACTACTTTCAAACTAGTCTTCAACTTGGCAGGATATTTGTAATTAATGAATAAACAGCTTATTGACATTATTATGATTATACTTCAATGTTAGAATGCACAAATATGACGTCTATTGAGGCCAGCCTCCCGTATTCTTCTTTCTTCCACTCGCTCGTCTCTGCTGTGCGCATTTTGCGCACAACGCGCGCTTTTGTATCTTCAGCGCTCGGAGGGTTCATTTAACTGATACCTGACTGTACATAAAATGTACATCTGTACTAAGATATCACTAACAACTTTGTACATAATATAAAACGTTATATATAGAATTCCTGAACAATTCCTGGAAAGAATATTTTAGTTGAGTGTGAGAAGCAAGAGGTAAAGAACCTGGGTTTGATGCTCCTCTCATTGAACAGCTTCAACAACGGGTTCTACAGGAACCCCGCCATTGTGGACAAAATGGCGGATATTTTAGAAAATAGTATTCAGGTAAATAAACCCCGCCATCGTGGACAAAATGGAGGATATTTTAGAAAATAGTATTCAGGTAAATAAACCCCGCCATTGTTGACAAAATGGCGGATATTCTAGAAAATTGTATTCAGGTAAATAAACCCCGCCATTGTGGACAAAATGTTGTATATTCTAGAAAATAGTATTCAGGTAAATAAACCCCGTCATTGTGGACAAAATGGCGAATATTCTAGAAATAGTATTCAGGTAAACAAACCCCGCCTTTGTGGACAAAATGGCGGATATTCTAGAAAATAGTATTACCCCTATTCAGACTGACGTCTGGTTTACCCAAAATAGTCTTGGGAGAGGGTCACGGGGACGAGGGAGGGAGTCCAGAGTTCCTTAAATAGTAATCACCGCCACCCAAATCTGTTTTGCGGCAAGCGCGCTACTCAATTGGTAATCTCCACCACCTCAATTAGTAATCACCGTAAAATTTTGTTTTCTGTGATTTGAAGAATTTAATGCACTTTTAACACAATTTTCGACATCTATCGGGGTTTTATGGCATCTGTATTGACTGAAACTAAATTTTCAAATTATTTTCAGATTTGTTTGGTCAACAAAAACTGAGAATCAAGGCACAGTTCATTTTAGCCGAATCTTAGATCCAATTCGCCACTTTAATGACTGCATTTCATGATTGGCGTCAAGATACAAAAAAGGTCGGGCTGCCTGTTTACTAAAAATTATCTCATCGCGCACAAAGTAATATCAATCTCCATTTAAAAGATATTTTCAAAAAACCTTTACAGTGTTTAGATTTTTGTATT